TCCAAGATGGATTTCCTGGTGCTTTCACCAATATCCTTCACCAACGGCATATTTCGAATGCATTGATTTATCTTGAGTTTTCCTCTTTCAATGTATAATTTTCACATGTATATGAGGCCATTGGATTAAGGGCACCCTACTCCTCAAAGGAGCTTCCTAACTTTTCACAAATTTATCGAAGTCTGTGCAGCGGATTTAGCGATTCTCTGTGCTGTTTGATCCCTTGATTGTGGATTCCATGAACATTGAGTGTGGACCCCGGTACGATGGGATCCTTTACAACTTCACAGTGTTCTTTACTTATCCTGATGTCACCTATTGGTTCAGTTGTGAGAATTTTGTTTTCTTTGTATTTAGTTGGAATCCATACTGAAGGCTGCAATCCTTGATCTTCATCGACAATTTCAATTCAGTAGTTCAATCATATTAAGAAGGGTTGTGCTATCATCACCACAATCAACACTGGAATATTTTCTTTTTTCTTGTACCCATGCTTTTGACTCCCCAAGTAGACCCCATTCTCCCCTTCCATGCCCCCAGGTAATTATTAATCCAGTTACTATCTTCATAAATCCACCCATCCCTAACTTCCCTGTCTGGGAGAATAGACACACACACACACACACACACACACACACACACACACACACACACACACACACCAGGAGCATTGATTAAATACAATCTCAAGGGAAGAGAAAAAATAAAATATTTACAAACCAGAAAAAGGTTATAATGGGTCAAAAAGGAGATCCTATAACAAGGCGTTATATTCCAATCTAACTATACGAGGAGGTACCCAAAACACCCAGAATTTTTTTTCAACCTAGGTATTTACATTGTTTTACAAAAAAACAACTTTATCACTTTCAAAGTACTCTCCACTACATTTAATACATTTGTCAAATCTGTAATTCCATTTTTGAAAACATTTTTCATACTCATCTGTTTGGATGGCTGACAACACTGCCCTTGTTTTTTTACTTTCCTGCTTCTACGTCATCAAATTGCTGCCCTTTTGTGACCCTCTTCATTAGCAGAAACAAAAAGAAATCACGCAGAGTAAGGTCAGGTGAGTAAGGTCCATGGGGCAAAAGAGGCATGCTGGGGTTTTTCCCCCCCAAAACTGAAGCACTGAGACAGTTACAGGAGGAGGTGCATTATCGTGGTGACAAAACCAGTCCCCCATCTGCTACAAAGCAGGCTTTTGTCACACAGTGACAAGATTATGCAATCTTTTCAGAAGCTCGAAATAGAAAGCTTGATTAACAGTCTGACCTGGTAGAGTGGACTCCAAATGCACTCTGAGCCAACATTTCCGACTGTTCAGAAAGTTGCCGGATGTCCAGAATGAGATCTGTCATCAATCTACATGACACCTTTTTTGAAATGAGAAAACCACTCATACCCTTGAGTTTTTCCCATAACTCTGTCCTTATAAGCTGTGTTCAACATCACAACAGTTTCTGTGGTATTTTTCCCGAGCAAGAAAAAAATTTCACAGACACACGCTGGTCTCTTAAATCAGCCGTCACAAAAAAATGAGGTTCAAGCAAAACTGCTTTAATGAAAAATTCACCATGACCAGAGAGAACCTTCCCAAGGATGCCAGTGGGTGCACTACCTCAGAGTGAGTTGCTCGATGCTCATCTAGAGGGGAAAATGAGGACTACGGAAGTTCCAACCTACTTTACAATGTACTTTGTCTGATATGCAGGCTATAAAAATTCCTAGATTATAATTAGTGGGGTTTCACCAGAGAATCAATCCAACAAGTGTATTTTGGGCTCCCATTATCAACCATAATGTTCTGCAAACTACGTGTTTAGAATTTTGGCTCTGGTACCATTCACCCCTCAGACCACACAGGTTTGTGTGCTTCTTCCATCTGAGTGTAGCTGACTCCTCACTTAGATGGGTGCTTTTCTTAATACAAGCTTTTAAGAAATTGGGCATTATTTTTTCCATCAGCCAGGCACCATCTGACTTCTTCACCACACTTTGATATTATACCTATATCTTCATTAATCTCCTTAGGGGGCCAAGTACTGAGTGGAGCCATGGCCCAAGAACTAATGAGGGTAAAGATCGAGTGAGAGTTTAAAATGTGTTCATATATCTATGGGTTAAATATGTCCCTGGTTCACATGTTTATCATATTGAAGTATATCATAAGGCATCCCAATAGGGCATAAGATCATTCTATTGATAGTATTATTGTTTTGCTCTATAGTATAAAATCAAAAGGACTGTTGAGAAAAGGAATTTATGCATGATTGGAGCATCTTTTTAGATTACAGTACATGCATTGCTAACTTGTACTACTCTGAAACTTGAGTGATTGGATACTACCTGCATAAATCATGGAAATGGGAATATGGTAGCACTGACAGTAAAACATTCATCTGACATACCTTGGCTGTGCTGCAAGGAGAGACCAGTCACTGGAAAAGGACATCATGATTGGTCAAGTTGAAGGCCAGGGAAGACAAGGCAGATCCTCATGAGAGGGATTGATGTGGTGACTAGAAATTGGTGAGGATGGCACAGGCCTGTGCAGTGTTTTATTCTCACAGTGTCACTGTGAGCCAGACAGCTCAAAGGCACCCAACAAAATGAACCAAGACAGGGTTAAGCCTCAATTTTGCAAATCATTCTCCACTCCTGGAATTCTACTGGTGCATTCACAATTATTGTTTGTATTTTAAAAGGAACTAAATTATTTGTAAACTATTTAAACTGAATTGATACATAACACAATAAAATACATAAATAAAACTGTCGTAGTTTGCATAGCAAACACACACATATACTCAGCGGGTGACTTCAGAGAACAGAATATATTTCCTCATAGTTCTAGAAACCAGGCAGGAAAATCAGGCTATTGGACATGACATTCCTTTGAGATAGGAACTTCTTTCTACTCCCTAATTTCCCATAACTACCAACCATTATTTGACTTCTGCTGCTTACAGATGGCTCTTCTCCCCTTTTTTTATGTCGCCATGCAGAAGGGATTTGTACCCAACATGTAGCACATCCGAACTCTTTTATCTTTACTGAAAAGAAAAGAACAACTCTCTAACTATTGTTTAGGGTCAGGGTCTGGCCTCTACTGACCTTACTTGGGGAGAGAAAATCCGACCGTATATCAGACCAAGGACAATTCTTTTCCGTCAAACGTGCATCCATCCTCCAATCTCTTTTATCAGTTGTCAACTACTGTCCCTCTCACCGCATTCTCTACTTCTAGTTGAATTCAGTAATCCGTTGTAATGGCTATACCGAGCTCACAGAGCAGACATAAAGTTCCCTACTATGAACTTTAGTTGGGAAGTTAACAAGTTACAATTCAGAATTATCCATGCTCAGCACAAAGTTCTTTGGTCAGGACTGATTATTCCCAGCCATGTCTGTAAACAGGCTTCTTTCTGGTCCTTCAGCCACACAGCCTTGGCCTCCCCTGCTTGGGCAATGTAGCACAGCTCTTTTAGCACTGCCAATAAATGGTCTATGGACATGGCATTTCGCCGTTAGCCTCAACCTCAAAGTGCTCAGCTGTAGCTCCATGGATCAGAAAACCTAGCTGCCAATTAAGTGCCTGGATGCATCTTACTCCATAAGCAACCCTCCTGCCCCTGATTCTGTCTTGTGCTCTCGTTCTAATTTTGTTAGTTCTGCCCCTCGCCACATCTCTGATGTCACAGCTGTCAGTCTACTGAACAAGAAGATCAATGAGTGAGATTTCAGGATTCAAAGGACACGTTCCATGCCTGGCTCCTCTTGACTGATGGTAGTGAGATCCCTCTTCCATATTCTAAGGTGGCTCGTTTTATGCCCAGTGGGGATGTCAATATTGACCAACCTCCACGAAAGAGTTCCCAGATTTCACAATCACTATTCATCCTCTTATTAATCTCTCAAAACAGAGGAAACAGATGTTAGCAGCATATTCCTCAACTTTTACTCAGATCTAACAGGAAAAAAAGAACCATTCCTAATATGTGTGACACCACCCAGTTGTTTGTCAGATAATTACAAAAACTCTGACATGAGATGTTATATAACTGCACTGCAAACATTATTTCCAAGTAAGATCACATTCACAGATACAATTTTAAGACACCAATATCCTTTTGGGGTTCACAATTTAATTAATGCCAATCACAAAATAATAATTTGTGCCATTCACAATAATGCCAATCACAATAAATAAATAATGACACTCTAAAAATGATTGTAACCCTTTTTAAAATAATTACCCTGCATATGGACATTAGACATCATACATATTGTTGTTTATTACTTTTTAAGTTTTTTTCATTTACAGAGAGTATACGCGTTTTACCTTACCATTATAACCACTCACTGACTGCCATTGAGGCAGTGCCTCCTCCTAATGGCCTTGTAGGTCAGGATAGAACTGACCCTGTGAGTTTCTGAGACTGTAACTCTTTAGGGGGTAAAAAAAACCATCTTTCTCCCGTGCAGCGGCTGGTGGTTTCCAATAGTGGTCTTGAGGATCACAGCCCAATGCGCCATCACTGCACCGCCAGGGCTCCAGACGAGGTCAAGTATCCCGAGAACATTTGCCATTAACATAGCAGTAGCTGTGGAAACAGAGATACGATGCTCTGATTCCTACTTTTATTCCAAACACTGTCTCAGCCTCTTTGTGGACATTATTTGATTTATACATTTGTCACAAAACTCCTTCAAAGATAGCCTCCCATTTCACAGATGTGGCACCTGCATGTCTGGGATTTTAAAGAAGTGACCCCAAAGCATCCATTCCTGTATCTCCCTGACCTGTTTTGCTTTTCTGTTTGGTGGTGAGTCACAGCAAGGCTTATTTTCAAGAGGCTTTTAAGCTTTTCAAAGGAGCGTTACCTGGTGATGTTTGAACGTCTATGTCTAAGATGTTATGTCAGCCATTTTCTCCTTTTTAAAAAGCCTTCGCATTAAAAGTAGCTCTTTGTCTCGGATTGGTTTACTTTCAGTGCCCTGTGGTGGGATGTTAACGAAGCGCAAAGGGACCATCTTGTCGCCCGGATATCCTGAGCCTTACGACAACAACCTGAACTGTGTGTGGAAGGTCACCGTGCCCGAGGGAGCTGGGATCCAAGTAAGGACATCTGCATTTTTCTTCTTTTCATTGTCTGTGAATGACAAGTGCCAGACTGAACAATCTTTCTAAGTTAGCAAGCTCTTCTCACTGAAATAATTTCATTTATAACTAGAAATATATTACGTGCTTGCTTTTTTTTTGAACCCTAAGTAATAGAAAGCTCAATTCAAATGAGGAGCTAATTCCAGGAACCCAAGCGGAAAGCAAATTCTGAGAATGATGAGGGCAACAAATTCATAAGTATGCTTTACACAATTGATGTATGTATGGATTGTGATGAGTTGCATGAGCCCCAATAAAATGATTTTTTTTTAAAAAGATGGCATAAGCAATATGAGAAGTGTATTGCGCCTTAAAGCATGGAGTCCGAAGATTCGAGGAGTCAGGATTCTTTATTTCAGTGGTTCCCTCGTGCTGTCCTGACCCAGACTACACCCATCTCTTTGCTTTGCGGCCTTAAGTATCTTAACTTCAGTTTTGAGCTTCCTTTCCTCATGGCCTTCTAATGACCTCAACGTTTGGGAATAATAGCTTCCGGGATCAACAGCCAAGGGCCCAGTGATGTATCTGCTCCCCTCCCCCATTGCGTGTGCATTGTCAGTAGTTCAGAAAGCTTTCCCAGAAGCCTGCTAGAGATTTTCCCTCCTGTGGTATCGGCCAAATTTGCAGTCATATCCAGTCTTCAGCCCACACAGGGAATAGGACAGGATTTTGTAAAATGTGCCTGCAAACCTGTCAAGATGCACAACCTGGAGCTAGTGAGGGCTGCCGCCGCCTCGCGTGGACGGTTTTCTTAAAATTGAGTAAAACCAGGACTTTGTCATCGAGGAAAAGGGGTACGATTTTGTAGTCAATCAACAGTGTCTTCTATTTTACTTTAATTGTGGTCAGTTATTGGGAGGAATTTTCCAGTTATTGTGTTTAATGGACATTATTATGAATAAATAATTGACATTTACTGTTGATTATACACACACATATATATAAACTAAGTGGAAGATCATTTTATCTTTTATAAAAATAACTTGATTATTTGTCCAAATGATTAATATGGCTTTTCTTTAGAACTGTGTGATACCTGACATTACAAGAAATGTTAGCTTCCATCTCATTCTGACCTTGTGCACAATAGAACGGTGTGCTTCCCTGACCCGTGCCATCCTCACCATCATTGCTATCTTTGACCCCATCGTTGCAGTCAGCCTGCATGTCTCTTCCGGGCCTTCTACTTTTTTGATAAACCCACACTTGCTAGCGTCCCATGTTTACTTTGTTCGACTTGGCCTCATGATTTTTCCTCAACATTGTGGGCATCCTCCATGGGTACCTGTCTCAGAATGATCTCCTCATCTCTTTAACTGCACAAACCAGAAATCTTGAAAAACTTTCCTCTGTGTTCTACCTGACATAACAGAATATACCAAGTTGTGTATTCCCACAAAGCATTTAAGTAAATCTCTTTCTCTTTACATTTTTTTACCATGCAAATGTAAGTGACCATTATCATTGTCTCAGCTTCATAAACTTTTCCAGTCTTTTTCCCATAGGCAAGTAGTGTGACCTTCTGAAAATAAAAATATAATACTGCATTTTTTTCTGCTTAAATTAACTGGCCCCCACCATCTGAACAGTTGATTTTACCATTTCTGCTAGGCTGATATTTCTAGCCTTTTCTCTTCCCTGTGTTTGAGTTATTTGCGAGCTTGACATTTCCATCGTGGCCCTCTGGTGCACGCTGCGCCCTCTCTCGGCAACACCCTCCATGATCGCTCATCATTGGACTTCCTCGTCATTTCTGTCTCAACTTTATCCCACTTCCTGTTGAAAACTTTCCATAAACTTCAGACAAGGTTAAGGTTTTCTGTGTATGTTCTCATAGCCCTCTTCCATTTCCATATCAGAGCACCGACCGCAGCCTGCTTTTATGACTTATCCGTAAGCTTCTGGGGGCAGTAACCAAACTTTTTCCCAAAGCTAGCATTGTTCCTGGCAATATAGGCTAATTAAATATTTCTAGAAGCAATCAATCCATACCAACAGAATCCATGGAATTTTGCTGATTTTTGTAGTGTTACCCCAGGAAGATGTACTAGAACAGTGGTTCTCAACCTGTGGGTTGTGACCCCTTTGGGGGTTGAATGACCCTTTTTAAAAAAATTTTTTTATTGTGAAATATTATTTCTTTTTTTTTAAAAACATTTTATTAGGGGCTCATACAACTGTTATCGCAATCCATACACACATCAATTGTGTAAAGCGCATTTGT